AATGCATCCGAAATTATGTGTAACCCGGCAAATTTTGTCCGGCTACCATTTTTTTATGGTGATGCTAGGGTCGTTAGTTCGTTTATCATTGTCACGTGCGTTACGGTTGATTTACATAATTAATTTAACGAATAATCGAAAATGTCGTAATAAATAAGTAATGCGATAGATAAGTTATGCAAACGAAACAATGAAATAATATGGGAGTAATATTATTGTAACAATTGTGTAATACGAATGTATAAATAATAAGTTGTAAGCAAGGGGAAGAATAGTCTCTAGTATAAGTAATTTCCCGAATAAAGAATATATATACCCTTTTGATTTAGAAACTTATCATTGTTATCCCAATCGTAAAATAAATAATAAAGCGAGTGTTCGATCGTATAATAACAACCCTGACTCAGATATTCGGTATAGCTTACCCTATATCGATTAACCCCGTGACAATCATCCTAATTGTTTACGAAAATTAATTTTATTCTAAAAACGATTACTTAAAAATTGAAATTCACCTCTACAAGTTTACTATATTATTATTTATAGAATAGGCTTACAAAGTCATCTTCATGGTGTACATTTCAAAATTTAAATTTAGGTAATTTATCATTAATTTTATCGTCACTCTTTCTTACCTATATTTATGAAGATAAAGATCATTATCAAAAGTAAATTTCCTAATCATTAGTTTGAAAATACACAGGTAATAAAACTTTGCTCTATAAAAATTTCGAAGATCTTTATAGCATTTCTGTTATATTTATTACATAAAATGAAAGGTCTTTGTCATCACAGAAAATCACTGAAAACAAATACATTTGAAAAGCAAATAGCATAATTTCGTTAAAAGGAACTACAATAACAGATAAAAGAAGATAGTAATATCATAAGACTATGAAATGGTCAACCATGCATTATTTTTAATACACTTGAGATTACACGTTATTTCTTCTTTTTTTTGCCCTCAAGTTCAACGAGTTCGATTTTGCAACAACCAAATTCTCTTCTATAAGCGATTGATTCAGGATTTTCTCCAAAGTGTATCTCCGTCTCATACTCTTCAAAATATTTGTCATCAGCCTCTTGGATAATTAGTGATTGGTGGTATAGTTTCATTGCTGTTCTTTTCATAGCTCTTCGCGCAAGTTCTTCAGAAACGAAGCAACGTTGGTCGATTTCCTCTATTTCAAAATCTTCTTTGTATTTAGTAAAATATGTTGTCAAGACCCAAACCGCATTTAATTCAGCTGAAAGTTGAAAAAATTATAAAATTTTCAGAATGCTTGGTCTCGTAAAAGCACATACAAACACAAAACCATTTTAATTACCTTCGACTTGCGGGGCTTTTGAAGTTTTTGTCGTTTGCGAGGGTTTTGTTTCTTGCAGAATCTTTGCTTCTTGCGAAGTTTTTGTTTTTTGCGAAGCGTTTGTTGACATATTTTCAGACTAACGGTTACAGTTAAAAATTGAAAAAGAAGAGAAAGTGCTGGAAGGCCATACCAGAAAATTTATCTATTTATTGTTTTTTTCAAATTACCCCTGGAAAAAAAAAATAAAAAAATGTAAACAGATCTACATACGCAAGGTGTCACGAAAGTTACATTTTTTGATATATTATTAGTAAATATATCAAAAACGTAACTTTAAGATCTTGATATACATGCGTGTTGAAATTTTTACGTACGTATTTTGTCATTTTTGTCATTAACAGTTAAGAGCATAAACGTGCTCAAACTTAATGCTATTTTAAAAATTACAACAATTCGGCAGAATTTAAGTCCTCGAATAATACATTTTAGTAAATTTGAAACATAATATATCAATATGGAAACATACAGTATATTATTTTGGGTAAAACTTAAAATTAGTCATTTTATTGTTTATAGGTCATAAATAAAATTAAAGAATCAGTCGTTATAGTGCTCACAATACTTTCTGTATATTTTTGGTCGACCAGCACTGGATATCTATTAATTATATAGTTATTGAATGCGAAGCGTCCAATAAGAGCACAGAATTTCCTGTATAACTTAATACCAAGTAGATTAAAGATCAATATTAATAGAAAAACTTTCGACCTACCTTCAAAAATAAAATTCTAATTAATCTTAATTCCAGCATAATTAACTTCGAGATAATGATTTTTAGATTTCTAAGGGATCGGAATTGTGGTTTGAATTTGAATGTCTAAATTAGGGGGATGGCTAAAGCCAGGTACATCACGAGATCACCCGATTTCTGGGTAATTACGGGACACCAAAATTTTTTAAAC